AAAATCGAAAATAAATGACATGATTTATTAATATTTTCCTATTAATTCTAATCATTATATTATTATATAAAACTCATAAAAATGTTAAAAAGAGAAATATTTATTGTATTTGTTCGAATTACATTATGCGTGAGTCATACAGACTGGTTAGAAATCGCCGAAATCAAATATAGTTTATAGATTTATTTTCATTGTATTGTGATTATCACGTTCGAATATAATTCTTATAGGCAATTCTGGTCGTCGACCGGACGACGGATATAAAATATAATATGATGGGTATTGAGATTATTTAAATAAAATTTTATATAGTTATAATAAGTTTAAATAAAAATTGTATAGGTTCAACAAATTGTATTTAAAAATATTTGTATGAAATAAATGTTTATTGCGGTCCACATTTAAAGGGTTCACGGACCGCACGTACTCGCGGAAGCGTCAGTCGTTTCCGCCAAAACCTATTTCTACCTAATTATTGAAATGGATTTTGAAAACCTCTAGTTTATGTATAGTGTAATCGATCATCGATGTATGTCGAGATAATTGATTTTTTAGTAATTCCTACCTATTTTAAATAAATATAAATCGATCCAATCTACATCATATGTAGATAGTGTGTGTGTTATCGGGTTCAGAGTTAACTGTGAGTATTGTGATAACAACGAAGAAATTTCGGGTATTACGATAACGTAGCCATGGGAATTCGTTCACCCCGAGTCAATCGATAGTGAATCGTGAATAATATACCTACCTATTTATTGAATATATTGGAATTTATAAATTTTTTTTTTTTAAACAGAATTTATTATGAGTAAACTTGATAAAAAAAAAAAATGATTCTAATTGATATGTTTAAATTTAATTTTTCGTACAAATCGGTCCAAACAAATATTCCATGGGTAGCTCTAAATGGATCTTAAACTATAATTCAAATAGGTAGGTAGACATAGATTTGGCGGAAACGAAAATCGAAACTTTTTCCTTTTTGGCAGAAACGATAACTAGCGGAAAAGAATATCAAGTTTTTCGGCGGAAACGACGACCACCCGTCTGCGGGCCACGTGTTTGAAACCACTAGTTTAAAACAATGCTTTCCAAGTTCATAATAATTAGATTCGTGTAACAAATACTTTAAGAGGGAAACTTTTATTTTATATTTTTTGATATAATTCCACTTTTAGAGCTTTTTTTTTTTTACTTAATTTGCTGGTTGTTTTGTTAGTTTTAAATGCATATTTACACAATATTATACGAATTGTTGGTTTAAATTTAGGAACTTCAAAATATTATTATCTCAAGGCATTTTGTTTTCGTGAAATTAATAGATTTTAGGTGTTCTTCATTAATTCAGATTGTCAACCGTTTTATTTATGATTTATAAAACGTCTTTATTTCTTATTTATTAACGGTCGTGTTACCTGGACTCAAATAAATAAAAACTTCAAAAGTGAAACATTTATTTTGTTAGAGAATTATTTAGCATTTTTTTTTTTTACTTATTTTTGTTGTTTTTTAGAGAACTTGTCTAATGTTTTTTAGGGTATTTAATTTCAGGCCCTAATTCATGGTCTCATGGATATTTATAGTTTAGCACATTTCTATATTATATAGTTTCTACCTATAGATAGAATAGTGTTAAAAATAACAAAGCTAATGTACAAGTAAGGTTAAAGGTTCATGAAGAGAATAAGTATACCTACATCGCAATTCGTAAGTATACATCAATATTCATATGCATCTATTTTTCAGGCCACTGTTATAGATGGGAAGTAGTAACGGGGTCAAATGAATTTGTGATGGTGGGAGGGGGTAAGGTTAATTTGTTTAACAGTTATTAATTATTAGTACAAATATTGAAGGGGAAAACGTCATGGGGTGGGTGTATATCTCCCTCGTTTTACCGCCCACGGTGAGAAGTTTGGAAGGGATAGGATGTAGGGTAATTGAGTTTATACACTGAAAGTGACGATAAATTATTGCAAATAAAAAAAAAAAATGAAATAAAACAAAACCATTCTAAACGAAGCTCGCGGTAAACTGGTCGGTGTTTTTTTCGTTGTGGTCCAAGGTAATCGAGAAATCGATAAAAACACGACTAACGTATCGGCATTTTTTGTTGTCGGGGTTTTTTATATTTAATTTTTCTAAAAATGAAGAAAAAAACGTTCGAATAAACTAGGTGCCACCGGTCGAAAAAGCCGTATCTTCTATTAACGGCGTACGATGTGAATAATTTCGAGCGTTTTTACGAGTCGAAAAAATGTTTTCCTATAGGAACATAAAAACATCTCGGTAAAACTAATGTGTATAATGTGTATACGCTCAGAATCTAAAATAAAACTATTTTTCGAGTATATAGGTGTTACACTGTTTATTTATTTTGCGTTTTTCATTTGCGACCCGAATCGATACAACAATATTATTATACATATATTGTTACTATAACAAACGACGACATTGGCTCGCGTGTAAACGCATCGTTATAGTTCGTGTTATAATATTGTGCGCGTGTTACGTTTCCGATCAAAGAAATTCCGGCGGTATTTTACAGAGACACAGGTTTTTTTTTTTTTTTATGTCTTCTTCCTATTATATTATACGAATAACTCGAAATGATCTCGGAATCGGCGACCTCTGTCGCTCTCCCACGGTCCTTTTCGATTTTACGGTGATTCTCCGTCGTCGTCAACCGGCCAATCCGGACGATGATATTCCGAATCTATGTTATTATTATTATTATGCGCGATATAACATCAAAAAACGCAGCGCAACAACAACAACAATGTCCTCAAATCGGACGTCCGCGAAAATCACTATTCGAACAATAATAAATAGTGAACAACTATGACCGCGCGGTGGGTTATTGTCGTCGGTCGGATTCTCGCGTCCGGCGCCGCAATAACGTCAAAAATATGTACGCATAGAGAACCCCCTCCCCCCTCCATACACAATACGATTGTTTCCATTTTTTATCCCTAGATAAAACGACATTGTAAAAACGCCGAGATGCTGACCGCGGCGTAGGTGTCGATGATATTATCGCCGTTGGACCGTCGGGTCGGGCGAACCGACGCCAAATGCGCCAAATCCAAAAAAGTGAAAATGTGAGTTTAAAAGTTTCCTCATCTAACGACTCTAACACATTAAATACAATTGTTTTAACATTACGAAAACAAGAAGTAACTTGAACACGTGTTAAAAAATAATGTCACCCGCCCAAACGGTGTATAAATAATAGTCGCCCGAACGGACTGTTTGTTTGTTGGTCGAAATATATATGGTTATAGGCATAGGCGCAACTAGACCACCATCTTTGGGGGTGTTAAAATTATGGATACTTCAAAGCCCTGTGGGGAAAATGCCCCCCTCCACACACACCCCTTTACACGATTCTCGCAATAAGCAACTACACATTTCATTCACAATTTTGTCACAACTATTTTTTATCATTATTTTTCATGCACACGCGCATTGGATGTATAGGATATTATCTGTAGTTTGTTCATTAATTATGGCATCACATGGATAAAATATTTATTCGTTAATATGAAAAAGCTGATTGGGTTTTTTTTGTGGGCGCCAATTTTAAAGTTTTGAGTGCTAAAGCCCCTATAGTTGCGCTTATGTGTACATGATTGCCTTTGCCCGATATCGTACGCGTCAGTTAGTCGATAAGGTGTCCGGGGGTTAATTATTGTATTATGTCCGGACAAAAACGATCGACGACATTGCGGTGCGGCACAATGGCCGCGTTTTGAAGAAGAAAGCCGACCGCGGTCGTCTACGCAGGGCAGGTACGCGTTTCATGTTGCGCGCCGGAGGACCACACGCAAAGGCCGTCTCGGGATCGTACCCGAAACAGCGGGACTACCGGTTAAAAGGAAAAGTATATTATCAAAACAACCGTCTCGTCGACGGACGATCGGTTAGGTTAGCGGGGACGCGAGGTGTCCTATTATTGTTATTGTTATTATCGTCTCTTTTGTGTAATAAGAAAACGGAGAAAAAAAAAATAGGAAATAGTCCACGGGATATCCGTTTCTAGCCCCGCGCGGAAGGGAGGGGTGGCGTCTTTGCTATTGTAACGACGGTGATGGTCGGCGGGGGTGCGAGTCCGACGACGAGGTGATTGCCACAGTCTCCAGCCGTAGTCTTCTTTCCGGTTTTTCACCCTCACCGATATCGGCGCGCACGCACGCGACACCCGGCCCGTGTACAAAAACAACACCGTCGTCGTCTTCGCGGCCCAACAGCGTATTGATTTTCGTATTTTTTTTTTTCTATCCGTGTACCCGTTACGCGGTTCGAAAATGTCGGCGGCCGGCCCGTGCGCGGACATACGCGTCGCCGTATTTTATCCCCGTTTTATAACGCACGTGTTCGTCATAGTTTTTCGTCTACGGCACGCGTGCAATATTCCGCGCATAATGATTGTAATGTATTGCGTATCACGGTATAATAATAATAATAATAATAATAATAATAATAATAATAATAATAACAATAATAATAATGTGTTCGGCCGGCACGCGCGTTTTTGGCGACTCCGTACGTGATAACGCCGCGCGGCGGTGGCGGCGCGTGTGACCCATTGAACGATAGCGCCCTCCTGTCCGCCTGCGCCACAAACGAACCCTCCTGGTCGGCGCGCGCGGTGGCGTCGTCGTAGTCGTCCGTACTCCGTACTTTCGTGTTTACAATCGGAACCGTACGAGCAAAGCCCGGCAACGTCGGCCGGCCCCCCCCGTTGCCGTTCCGTTTGCGGCGGCGGACAATACAAAAACGTTTTTATCACATAATGCGATCCGGTGGTGGTGCGTGCGCGCGTGTACATGTCTTCGGCGCGCGCGCGCGCCCGAGCGTGCGTACCGCCCGCTGGCACAACGGAGGGGGTAGACGGCCGGTCGGACGGGTAGCGGCGGCGGCGGCGGCGGCGGCGGCGGCGGCGGGTGACAGTAGAGAGCGTGCGTGCGCGTGTGTGTCAGTGTAGTCCCGGTGCGCGCGCGAGTGTCGTGTTTTTGTTTTGGGCGACGAACAGCGTCGTCGTCGTCGTCGTCGTCGTCGTAATCTCGCGTGTCGTCTTCGCCGTCGTCGTCGTCGTCCGGTGACCGGATCGAATGTTTGGGAAATGAAAAATACGTACGAGAATGAAATACCAATAACAGATAGCGAGCACAAAAAAAAAAAAAATTAAAATAACCCAAACGAATATTAAAAAAAAACAAAACTCGAATATAAAGGGACGTTCGCGAGCACGCGCGTAGATACGGCGGACGGCGAGCAACGGACTGTTGCGAAATAATAATAATATTATATTGTTCATTGTTCATGTAGTACTACCGGGACCGGTAGTACAATAATAATAATAATAATAATAATAACAATATTTTCATTGATACAACGCAGACACATGATATTATATCGCATATATATATACGGTATTATAATAACCAACGATAACACCGTAACAAAATACCGTGTGTGCTTCGGAAACGCGGTGTGCGCGTAGTCCCGCGGTCGGCGGGCCCCGCGGGTGCGGTCGGCCCGCAATAGGTATAATACAATAATAATATATCGGTTTTCGACTTTTTTTTTTTTCTCCTCCGCTTTCTTTCTATTTTTTTTTTTTTCTTCTACACTCTTTCGATTTCCGCCGCACTATTATATTACGCGTGACATTGACCGCCGTCACTCGTCGCCGCCTCCTCCGTCCGTCGCACACGGACGATCCGCATTATACTACCTGCCCGAGACCATTACCGAGATTGTTATTACGCCGCGAAGAGGAACAGTACGGGAGGACGTAACGCAGTCACGGACGTAACAGAGTACTGGCCGCCGCTCGTCACTCGTCTGCCGCCGCCGCCGCCGCCGCCGCCACCGCCGCCACCACCACTCGCCACTACGACTGCGACGCGACGGAGACGACGACGCACGCGATGCTCGTCCACGATCGTTCGGGACGCAGCAGCACGGGGGCCGCGGCCGCATCGCAAGCCTCCCGGACCGTTTCCGTCGTCGGCCGACGCGTTTCCGTCCGATTATCGCACCGACACTGATTATCGTTTATTAGAAGTATACGGTAATATTATCGAATACCCAATAATACTTGTCCGGTAGAAACTCGTAAGGAACGGAAAAAAAAAAAAAAAAATTACTCGTCTCCACGGGCAAAACGATTATTGTAACGAGTAATTCGTAGTCGTGGGGGGAGGAGGGGGTTCTACGTTAATTTTGCCTCCCCGATCGGTTTTCCAACGCGACTGGGAAATTGGAATAGAAGAAAACAACAGTAATTTTAATAGCGTGAAAATAATCGGAAAAAAAAAATATACCGAAAGAGTTAATCGCGGGACTGTTTTCTTATTTTGAAACGCACTATGCGTGTGTACACGGAATATCTGTATAAATGCACAATCGCACGCCGTGTGTGTATACGCACTTACATACACACACACACATGCGCGCGCGCAAACACACACGTAAGTGTATTATTACGAGCGCGTGTGAATGCGCGTGTGTGTATACATGTGTCCCCTACGTGCTCGCGACGCGTTTTTATCACCAGTCTCTCTGTTGGTGCACATGGATAATAATGGGCCGGGGTCCAAAATGGTCAATAAACCTAAATACGCCGCACGCAGCATTATTGTTATGATAATATTCACCACCGACGTTCGGGTACGACACTGACGGTCGTCCTATCCCAATACGACTGCCTACCTCTAACTCGTAGTCTCCGTGTTAGGTTCTGGCGGGCATAGGTAAAATACAATAAAACATTATTAGTAATCTATAGCGCCGTGTATTTTTTTCATTTATTTTTTTTCCCCTCCGGCGACGTTTTCGTAAAACTTTTTTTCCGTTTCCGAACAAAAGTCGCACTCCACTCGCATACGCTCCAGCCGTTGTCTGACCGTAAGTTTTTTTTTTTTTTTTTCCCATCGGTTTCAGTAGTCACGCGATCATGATCTTGTCGGACGACTGCTGCTGATCGCACGCACGACACCACCACCACCACCACCACGGCCACCATGTCCTCTTCGAAAGGGATCGACCCGAAGAAACGCAAACTGCTGACCAGCGAAGAAGCCCTTCTCGAAGCGAGTACCAAAAAGTTAGTACCTTCGTTTACCTACGAGGTAAACCCAAGTACCCACCTCGGGATACACTGTTATTATTTTTTTTTTCCATTGGTTCTAAATACACACATTCGTATCAAAATTTACTGTTTTTTGGTTGTGTACGTTTGTTATTAGTGTTTAAATGTACACTGTATATTATAATATTTACCTATCTATATTTTGTTCGCCTATCTCAAAATACCACCGTGCAGTTGAAATTTATGTTTACAAAGAAAACGATACATTTCATTGAACCATTAACCACAATTATTATTTTTCTACCTGAAATCATTTATTTTTATTTATATAACAAAATGTCCAGGAGTATACTATGTAATTTGTCATGAGTTATGTTTATTCGTGTAATCACTATTTCTTTGCACAGTATATACATTGTATTATAATATGTGAAAACATCTCTGCGAATCTTATTTTACTCGATTTAAACATTGTATGTTCCTTATTAAGACTTGTGTATTACTTGTTATAGAATCAAGGTACAAGCCCAGAGAAAGTTTGCCCAAAATGCTGTGACGCCCACCAGTACTCCACAAAAACTTGTTCAAACTCCTATCGTACCCAATAATCCAATAAAGCCACCAATAAAACGACCAAATACCGAGGATTTCCTTACTTTTCTTTGTTTTAGAGGTAATATAATTGTAATTTGAAAAAAATTCAACTAGTTGAAAAATGCATTTGTATTATTTTCTTCAGGCACAAGTTTATTACCACCACGATTAGATTTCTTTAATAAGCCTCAACGCTCTCTATCGGCTCAAGAAATTTCTGCTGGAAAAGTATATATTATTTTTAAACTTTTGCATTATAATTATCTGTACCTAGTGAAATTAACTAAATTCTGATTGGAATTTTAGAAAAGAAGAAAGAGCACCCCTATACTGCCAGCGTCTAGTTCAAATAAAAATGTTAATGAATCTAATGAAAGAAAAAACATTAGACAGTTACCGCAAACTAAGTATTCATTGACAAAATTAGGACAAAAAGGTAAGTACCAACAGCAAACATAGTCAATGGTATTATAGTATCTAATGTTTTTTATAGTTATAGGGCGAAATTTGGTAAGATGTAGTTCGAGGTACTCTTCTCGACAAGAATCTCTTACCTTGCGCCAAATAGCCCTTCACCATGGTTCAAAGATAAAAAAACCAAAACCAAAACCAAAAGTTAAAAAGTATGAAAACTAATATTGTAATAAAATAATAAAGTAAAAACAAAATTATTAAATGGTTAATTTTCCCATTAAATGAATATATAAATAAATAAATAAATGAATGCGTCGCCTGGAGTGTTATAAAATGTGTATAGTATGGCCAGTTTCGAATTAAACATTTATTGTCAGGTAAAATCACAGTCAAATAGTAAAACGCGACTCACAAGATGAATTTTTACTTCAAAACCAGTTGTACAATACACATTTCATAATACTCCAGGCGATATATTCATTATTTATTTATTTTTATACTAATATTGTATTGATAATGATTCATTTATACCAAACTTTATGCACTTTTTTTTTAACTTTTAGAGTTCCAGTTGTAGAAAATGTCAAAAAAGAATTAAAGAAAAGTGGTAAACAAGTATCGTTAGATGGTAAGCAAATACAAAAGCTGAAAGGTCGTATAACAAGATCAAACTCTGTACCAAGTATCTTTTATCCTGCAATAAATCAACTTCGAGGTAAAATGGTTTAAAGATTTTTTGCTGTTTTAAGTTTGTGTGTAATGATAAAAAACATTTCAGATGATAAAGGTAAATGGATCAAGGGAAATGTTAAACCCCCCTCTTCAAAATCATCAGAAGATTTTAAGGATTCCAAAGATGTTGAAGAAGAGAGACCATCGAGAAAAAAGACTGTATCAAAGAATTTAGATTATAGTATCAACAATTCCGGTAATTTGAAACGAAAGACAAGTGAAAATAAATGTAAAGTAGTGAATAAAAATGAAAGAAAAACTAGAAGTTTAGTGACTAAACATAAGAGTGATGACCAAGACAATTATGTTGTTCCTGATAAGAACTTGAGGAATGTATTGAAGATAAATAAAGCAAATAGCTTAATTGAAACTAAATGTTCATCTGATGTAAAAAGAAGAACTGCTTCAGTTGACAACATGAAAACAATTCGTGCTGGTAAAGATTCAATCAGGTATGGACATATAATTAATATAGTATTATAAAATGTAATATAATTACATTTTTTAATAATTAAATAAGAAATGTATTATATAATTATTATATTTAATACAAATTAATGTTATGAATTCAGTTCAACTCGCTCAAGACCTCCTAGAAGAACGAAAGAAGCTGCTACTTTATTTATGGAAATGTTACGAAAAGATATGCGGTGCCCTGATGAACAAGAAGAAGATGAAACATCATCTGTAGAAAGTTTCCCTGATCTTCCCAATACACGCATAAATGGTAAGTGATAATAATAAGTAAATTGAATATGACTTCTAAATAATATGGCAGTCAATAATTAATTTTAAATAAGTAAAACACAATTTAACTGATTATGTTTTTCATTATTTTATTATAGTTGTAAATAATTTATAATATGATATGAAATTAGTAAATATAAAATACTAAATTTTCATCTTCCACTAAATATTCAAATATTTTATGAAGAAAAATGTGTGAAAGTTATAAAATAAGTCAATGAGTTTTTCTAGTATTATTGCTGATACAAATTCAATTAATTAATCTTGTATCTATATTAGAATATGTTGATAAAAGTGCATTTTGTGATGTTTTCCATTTGGATGGATGGATAGATAGAATGGATTTTCCATTTCACTCATTTGTAAACAAAGTTCTAAAATATAAATGTTATTATTCCTATCATTTTAATTGATTTCTACATAATAATTGTATTTTACAATCTGAGAACTTTTCAAGATCACCAATATAGATTACTTTATTGCATAAATTCTTTAACAACATCAGTTGGAAGATTTTTTCTTTTTTTAATAAAATAATTATTTTCTAGTATTTTTTTATTATAAAAATATAAAATATATAATTATTATGATACTATCACAGTACACATGTTCTTTGTGAATCTTATCTCGGTATCATACTACTTATATTTCTTTTCAATCGTATAAACCTGAATTTGATTATTGTAAACCATGAATAATTGGTACATTAACACTTCAAACACAATTTATAAAATAAATCTGAAAAATTAATTAGTAGGTATAAATTGTTTTAGAATTATTATTATAGAAATACACCTAATATATACTTTTAATAGATGAATGATACCTATAATTGATCTATGATTAAACTGGACATATGCCACAAATTGATTGATATATTAATAATTTTAATAACATTTTAATTCTTGAATGAATTAATTATTTACAGATTAACCAGTTATTTCAATAGTAATACATCTAACCTTAAATCATCTACTTTTTATTTCTTGAGTTTTCAATTGTCAGTAGTGGAGGATCACTCTGGAAGGATCTGTATAAACATTACTGCTCCACTGTTGCAATTATTTATGAATTCCAAAATTAATACAAATGTATACAGGAATGCATGGGTTAATCATCCAATACATTCCCTTAATAAATTATACATAAATAGATGAAATATTAAGTTATGTGTTATGTGAATATTAAATGTGTGATTATATAAGTTATAGGTACTATACATATTATAGTGTTCAACATGTTTAGTTTGATTGTTACAATTTAACCATAAATCAATCTACAACTTGAAAGTAATTGCTATTAATTGAACAAGGACAATTGTGCCTAGTTATTAAAACAAAAATAACTATGAATACAAGTTCACAAAGTCATAATTAATATTAGTTATCAGATTAAATAACCGTAAATTCAAATTTGTAAAAAATAGGTTATAGCATAACCAGCAATATATCCAGATGTTACATTCTAAACTATTAATTAACTAAGTAATTTAGTTTCGTCCCTGTATTTAAAAACATTTAACATCTTTGATTAGTGAAAAACTGTATGATTAATTAATGATAGAGAAATATTGTTTTTCATTATTCGAAATATGAATAATTTATCATATAATATAGTTTCTAGAAAGTAAGAAAAAAAAAATGGGTTCTAATTATGGTTAATAACAACTTGTATAGTAGTTGAAATAAAATTAAAGAACTTGAAAAGTTGATAATTTTAAACTGATAGTAGTTTCACAGGTATGTATTTGAATTTAAATACAATATATTTTTTAGAACAACGGGAACGTGAGTTGAAAGGATTTTCTAAGAAACACTCAATTCATAATGTACAGCAAGCCAAACAAAGTTTATTTGAAAATAACGATGATCAATGTTCGCTAATAATGGCTGAAAACAAAAAGACTGTAGTTGATAAAAAGACAGTTAAAGAGAAAAAAAAAGTCAAAACGAAAACTTCAGCATCTAAAATGCCAAAAGAAGTGACTGAGACAATTGCCATTAATGATGACGGGGGAACATCTTCGTTCAAAAGGAATTTGAGACCTCGCCGCTCTTCTACAATGCTAGATGATTATATTATTATGACTGATTCGGAAGAGGATTTTGAGAAACCTGAACCTGTAACGGTACCGAAGAAATGGGAATCCTCTAAACCGATTCCGAAGACAACAACAACGGCGGAGGACCCCAAATCTCAAAAAATTAAATTTAGTACTGAAGAATCTGCTAAAAAAAATCTTAAAATTAATAAGACTGACTTGAAACCGAAAAAAGATTTAAGTAAAATAGATTCTGAAGTGATTAAAAAGAGTCTTTCTGAAACTAAGTCAAAAAATACTTTAGTAAAACGCCACAAAGAGCTTGTAATCAAGAATAATAAAAACACTGCTGCCGACAAGAAAATTGAGAAATCGTCAAAAAATAAGACTGAATCCCCAATAGTTGTTAATGTAGAACCGAAAACTACCGGCGAAAGTTCGAAAAACTCCGGAAAAAAAGTGCCACTATCAAATAAGCAGCAGCAATTGGCAAGGAAGGAGAACGCCTCGAACAAGAAAAAATCCACATTAGATTTGTACAACAACAATAACTATAATAATACCAAAAAGTCGTCTACTGTACCGTCGTCAGTGACCACTTCGTCTTCCATGTTTAACAGTACTACTAGTCAAACAAAAGAAGAGCTTTTGGAACGCATGGCCAAAAATTTCGAAGTGAAGCCTACCGTTTGCAGATTGCAGGACGACGGGAAAGCGACAAAAAAACCAACGACGATTACGTCGACGAAAGTGGAAAACAACTCCGCCGTGGTGGAAAAAAAAATTGAAAACGGCAAAACGATGAAGAAGTCGTCGTACAGCGCCGTCACGGTGGACAGAAAAATAAAGAACAGCGCTGTAATCGCGGGAGAAAAAAAGGCGCAGAACGCCGCCAGTAGTATGATGGTGTCCGGTGGCACGGACTCAGCGTTGGAAAATCAACAGGATGTCAACAATGAGGCCAAAGGAAAAATGGCAGCCAGTGACACGCATCCCGTAAAACTAGAATTGAAAGTCTCGAAAACGGAGAACGTGCAGACGAAAGAGGAAAACGTGCAGGCGATAGAGGAAAAGGTGCAAGCGAAAGAGGAAAAGGTGCAAGCGAAAGAGGAAAAGGTGCAAGCGAAAGAGGAAAACGTGCAAGCGAAAGAGGAAAACATGCTGCTGGCTGGTACGGGAAAAATGGAAAACCTCGCCGTGGTCGTCAAGGTTGATAAAGCTGAATCTACGTTGATGCCGTATTGCGACACGGTGCAAAAATTGGAAAACGTGGTGTTCCAGTCACTGACCAAAGACTTGTTTTTGCAGGACAATCATAAAGATATCAAGATCGCCATGCCCGAGTATCTGTCGGGAAATAACTTCCAACTGTCCAACCGGTTCAAACAGGACGACGGCCTGTCGGTATTGTCCGAAATTTGCAGTGCCCTGCCCAGGTTCAACGAACCGTTCGTGTCTAACAGGCAACATTTATTTAACAACAAATTACCGGTTTTATCTGCCGACAGTGATTTCGTTAAGCACGCGAACCTGCAGCACACGCCCACTCTGGTACCTGTGCCGTTGGCCGTCGGAGTGTTGGACCCGAAGAAAACAGAAAAGCCGTCGGTGTTCCCGCCGTCAACGCTGCCGCCGCCTCCTCCTCCGCAGCAGTTGCCGCCGCCACAACCGCCGTCGTTCGAAAGTCGGACAGTAAAAATCGTCAACTTGGCGCGCGGTAACAACAGCGCCGTTGCCGGTACCTGTAACGACAAAAAGGACGTAGGCGCGTCGTGGAAACAGTCGATCAAAGACGTCAAATTACAGAAAAACGGGCTGTTGTCCGGTGCTGCCGCCACCATCGTCGCCGCGGCAGGCAGCAACTCGTTAGCCTGGGGTGCCAAGAGGAAACAACCGTCGAACGACGATCAAACGGTGCCACCGAAAACACCCGCCGATATCGTTGTAGACGATACAAAGAATAATAAAACGGCAACCGCCGGGGCGGGTGAACGAAACTCTGGGAAACAGCCGGCTGTGTGGGTGAACGGCGTCACGGAAAAGAAATCATCGGTGAATTCGTGCCAAAAGACTTGCTGCGGCGAATCGAAACCCACCGAAATGTTTGACAGTGTCAAAAAGACGCCGGTGGTCAACAGTAACTCGTCATATTTGGCCAAGACGACCATACTGAACAGTACGAAATACGATTTGAAATTCGAAAAACGTTCCACGGCGACGGTGGCGGTACCGATAGCGGCGACGACGACGACGGCTACTCCCGTCAGCGTAGAGAAACATCACCGCAAAGACGTGGTCGGCGACGTGTCGTCTTCCGACGACCAGAGTCCCGAAAAGAAAATCTTCAATCAGCGACGGCTGTCCACCAATCAGTCGTGTAGCGGAAACAGTTCCGACGCTTTTTCGCCCGACAACGAGACGAGTGTTTACGCTTTCCAACCAGACTTGCCAGTGGCCAGCACGCCATTTCGCCGAAACAAACCCCATTCGCCCGCCAAGTCCAGGACGGTCTCGCCCAACACGTCTATCGCCGTAAATATTATTTTATTTGTATTTTTCTACGAAATACGCACCATAATAAAACTTAAAATGTTTTGTAATTTTCGAATGCAACAATCTGTTTTCTTTGTAATGCAGGTGAACTTCGAAAACGATTCGACGGAGGAAAAATCTCACCAGTCCGCCGTATCGTCGACGACGGACGTCGACAGTGAAGACGGACGATTATTCTACATTCCTTTGCCGGCCGGCGTTCAGGCCCAACCGTTGATCCAGGGCGTAACAGTCAAACTGGGCACGGAGGGGCCACAAAATAAATTGGTGATGAGCGCCAAGCTGGTGACCAAACCCCCAGCGTCCACCATACCCATCAGGTGTGTACCCTTTTTTAATAATTTATTTTTAAATAATCCGGCATAGTATTAATATTTTTTCTGTCCACAGTTCCATATCGCCGAAAACTGATCGAAAAATCAAGCCGTTGTGCTCGACCAAAATCACTAACAGCACCACTCCTGTCGGAACTGTGCAACCAACTACCCGATCTGTTCAGCCCCCCAAATGTAGTCCCTCGACTTCGAAAGAAATGTTACCATTACAGTCACCGTCACAACCACAATTACAGGACGAAAAAGATGAAAAGAAACGGTTACAAAAAACTACCACGACTAATACTACTGCCACTACTACTAGTACTGTTAAGGAATTTAAAAAATCGTCGATATCATCATCGTCCCCAGCCTCTACTGCCAATAATAAAAAATCGAAAAAGTAAGTCCATTTCTTTATTACGAAATATCATATTAAATATTATTGTTTACGAATATTATTTTATGCAATTTTAGGACTGAAAAACACATAGTTAACAATAAGAGAAAGTCCAGTGAGAAAGTAGCTTCGAAAAAAAAGTTACTGAGAGAAGAAACCGCTGAAATGGTTGAAGCACCTACATTTTATCCGTCTGAAGAAGATTTTAAAGATCCCTTGGAATATTTTGAAATCATCAAGCCAGTTGCCCAAAAGTATGGTATATGTCGAGTCGTGCCGCCACCTAGTTTTAAGGTTTGTGTTTAGATATTTCAAATTTGAAAATTGTGTTACTTACAGTCAATATTGATTTGAGAATAAGATGTGCTTACCTAAATTTTGAACGAAATTTCCTCTCTGTACAGCCGGAGTGCAAAGTCAGTGACGATATGCGGTTCACGGCATACAACCAGTATGTACATAAGATGATGAACCGTTGGGGTCCAAACGTCCGCGAAATGATGGCCATGAAAAAGTACCTGAAAACGCAATCGATAATGCTGTCTAATCCACCGCTAATTGGTGGCATGGAATTGGATCTGCCAAGACTTTACCACACGGTCCAAGAACTCGGTGGCCTCAAGGAAGTAATCGAGTTGGATAAGTGGTCTCGCGTGGCCGATCTGATGAAAATACCAAAAAGTGCCCAGGATCGTGTCACTAAACTAGACGATATATACTGTAAATATCTGTTACCGTATGACACGCTTTCACACGGTAAGTACACGCGTAGTTTCATGATTGCAGTCGTATGATTTAGGCAGTAAGTACTGTAAAGTATACCAAGTTTTTTTATTTTTGTGCGACCAGAGGAACGCCAAAAGTTAATCACTGAAGTAGACAAAGAGTGGAAACAGATTTGCAAGAAAGGTGGTGATACAGAAGACGAATTGTACGATGACGTCAATGATTGCATAACAAAGGTAAACATTACAAATGTGTATTCAATTAAAATCCTTTTAAAAATCGTAATCAATAAAAAAGATTGATTAACGTGGTTTACCTTTTTTTTTTATTTTCATCTGTAACCGAGAGGTAACTCCGAATCAACAAATCAATTTTGTTCTCATATCTAGGTAAATACTTGAAATTTCGTGTAAGCTATCTTTTAAAGATTCAATTTTGGAAATCCGATTTCGGGATGTACACAGATCCGTTTATTTGAATCTGTATAAAGATGTTCAGACCTCTGCGGGCGAAAGATTCGGATGTGCATAGCACATAAATACGCGGACACGCCTTTTATTGTTTTATAATTTGGGTTTTTTAGAACATAAAAGAACAAAAGATTCTAAAATATACTGCCCTTATTTTTTATCACCCTTATTTTTGTCGGTGAAACCGTTACCTTTTTAGATTCTGAGCTGAGATAGGAATAGTTTTACAATGATGTTTAGTTGTATTTTATTTTTCTGTGAACAAATTTTCTACCAGAAATTTAATTGAGGTAGTATCTACTTTAGGAAAATCATTTTTTGTTTTTTCCAAGGGTTTTCATAATAAATAGGAAAAAAACGTAGGAAAAACCAGAAAATTTACGAAATGTATTATTTTCAAATCGTAGGTATTTATTACGGCTTTTTAAAACATGTATAGCCGAACTCTATTCAGAATCGTTTTTCCATTGGTAAAGATTAATCGTTGCGCACAGATATACATTAAATTTCTATCTATATCCTACCATCCCAACTTCTCACCCATAACAGTCACCCACCCATCGTGCGAAGTTTGTCCGTGTATTTTTTTTATTTTTTCAAATTATAAAATAGCGAAACGTCCGATAAATAGATGCAGTTTCGGTGTTGCAATTTTTAAATTCCGTCAACCCATTGACGAGATATTCTACTTTTACGTTTGCTGTTATGCGGGTAGGGGAGAGTAGTGGTGGAATACTATTCAAACGCTTTGCATCACATCGCCACACAAATGATGTCCTGCCACCCTCCTATCCAAACTTGAACGCGAAATATCTTGTCCGATGATCTTGTTGATGAAAATTAAAAATGTCAACAGCAAAAAATTTATCGAAACTATTACATCATCTATTTATAGAATTTTTAATAAAAATTAAAATCAAAAGCGCGTAGTGATTTCACCGTATCAATAACGGCAATGTAATATTTTCGAGCTTCTTGATTTTTGTATTTTCTTAATAACGAACGCAGAAAAAAGTTAATACTTTCAGAGACATAACGATAATATCTTGAATTACGTTGATTTATCCGTATAAACCGTATAAAAAAAAAAGATTATATTATAATAATTCTACACATTGTTGTGTCCCGCCGTTTTGACGGCTTTTTTTTTAGCGCAGTTAATATTGGAATTTTTTTTTTTTTTTGTTTACAATCGGTTTGTTATCGAGGGGGACATCGATTTGGAGAAAAATTGAATTTTTATTTTCATACCTAAACACACATAAAAAAAAAATAATAACTTTATTTATTCAACTTCAGAAAATTTTCAAAATAGCCGTTTTGTAAAAAAAAATTAATTTATCACGCATTCATATCCGATGAACAATTTCACAGTTAAGCGAATAAAATAATACGTTATGCTATAAGGGACCACAATCAGCACGGTAATTCTTTACCTTCTATTGAATATTGATCGTTTCCGCGCCTATTTTCTAGAAATTAAAACGGCTACGATCAAGAAATTGTTTATCGGATATGAATGTATGATACATTTTGCTGTTTTAAAGACAAACAGATTGTTAAAAAAAAAAAAAAATGACCGAGACAAATTTAATATTAATAGCGCTAGAAAAACCCGCCGAACACTGTACACTCGCACCGGGAAACACTGTATACTCGTGTATAGTAATTTCCGTTTTTTTTCGATAATTTTTAAAACCGTGAACTCATTGCCGGCCGTACATATTAGACGTTACGTATTAGAACTTTGGGCGTGTTATCGAAAATAATAACCGATTCCATATTAAACTCTCGCCGAATTTTTTCGTACACTCGATTTTTTTTTTTTTTTTTCTGTCTGCATAAAGGGTCGGAGCATCGCGTTGAGCGCGTATTACCGCGTGGCCCGCAACACCGTTGCCATGTGGTTCAGGGAACAACAGCAACAGCCCGCGCAAGGCGGCGGCGGCGGCGGAAATTCGTCCATCACCAACAACAGCAAGCTGGCCGCGGCCGCGGTCCGCGCCGAAGACGTGGAGACGTCCTACTGGAAACACGTGCAGGACAAAAAGAACCACATATGCGTGCTGTCCGGGTCGATTGACTCGGGGACCGAAGGTTACGGGTTCCCGACCGCCAAGACGGCCACGTTCACCAAACACCCGTGGAACCTAAAGGTGCTGACCAACAACCCGGTGTCCGTGCTCAAGTCGCTGGGCCCGGTGATGGGCATGACCGTGCCCACCATACACATGGGCATGGTGTTCTCGGCGTGCTGCTGGTACAAGGACCCGCACGGGCTCCCGTGGATCGAGTACCTGCACACGGGAGCCGACAAAGTGTGGTACGGCGTGCCGTGCGCGCGCAGCGACCAGTTCCGGACGGCCATGAAGCGACTGTTGCCCAGGGCCGTGGCCGAGGGCGAGAACCACCACACCTGGCTGGCCGCGGACAGCGGCATGGTACCGCCCGGCCGGCTGCTCGAGCACGGCGTCCCGCTCACGCGGACCGTCCAGAACCCCGGCCAGTTCCTGATCGTCATGCCGCGCGCCTACACGTGTAACGTGTCCACCGGCTACGTCATCTCCGAGAGCGTTTATTTCACGCAGTCCGGGTGGCTGAACGACGCCGAAAGGATTTTCCAGGTAACCGCGTCCGTTTCGCACGTCTCCACAGTTTGACGCCGTCAAATTCGACCGGGGGCTAGGCGGTCCAGTTTGCCCCGGGGGGNGGGGGGGGGGGGGGTGTGTTAATATCTCTAGCGGGATTTTAATGGGCAGCGTGACATAATCGGGCGGGGGGGTGGGAGGAGGTTCAATTTTTTCACGGTCGCGCCGACACCATTATTATAGTTTCTGTTTTATATCGTACGTACTTGTGTTTTGATTGTTCATTATCGACGATATACTCGGATTTCCGTTCGTTTCTATTGACTACTGGAGTATATTTTTCTGAAAGAAAAACACAAAATTTTTCGATCAGAATACACAGTTTTAGAATTTCGAACGGAAATAATGTTTCATCCGACTTCCCGGAAATAGATGAGAATAATCGTGTCTACTATTTGTACATGGTAAGAAACTTGTTATCTCGAAAGTATTCATTTTTTTTTTTTTAGAAATTGTCTAAGAACTTGGCCGCTGTTTTACTACATTGCCCGTGTTGCATTTTTGGCGGTGAAACGTTACTTACTTTTGATTTTCAAAAAGCAGCTTATTTTTTACAAAAAAAAAACCTTACAAAATCTTGTGTCTTACAAACACAAGATATAGTAAAAACATGTTAACGCAGACTAGTTCAGTTGTGGGTTTTCTAGAGTAAAAGCGCCTAACATGAAATCAATAGAGAACCATATTCCGGAGGGTAAGACTGCGTTTTTTTTTTTTTAAATAGTTATTTTTCTTTTAAAGGTTTAGCTAATTGAAAAAACGTCGAATAAGTCGTTATTTATAAACGGTAATCTGGCAGTTATATTCGGAGAAAATGGAAAAACGCGACCACTTGCCCCTCGGAATATCGTTCTCTTTTAAATAATGCACCGCTACTCTCTCTCGACACAAAATTAAAATGTGGAATATCTCGTCGACGGATTGCCGGAAATCAAAAATTGTAACGCCAAAATTTATTTTAACAAATACTCCGTATATTCGTGGAACATTCAATATAGGTTGCCATTAGAAAATCAAAAGTAGACAGTAGTTTCAGCCCCCCCCCCCCCAAAAAAAATGAAGGACAATATTCTGTTTAAGAACTATTTTTCAAAAAAATTTTTAAAAAAGTTTCCGATATAATGAGCGAATCACCCTGTATATATAATCTGTTATAAAGTGGCTGATATCACGCCTTCCCCGTAGTCTAACTTCCGAGCCGCATGATTTAAAATTCGGAAATAATTCAAGAAAGTAACGTTAAAACATTTCCAACGAAAATTATTCCGCACTAAATATGTTGAAGTATATTCTACGGAACCCAAAATTGATGGGGTGTATTTCGACGAGGTTCCGGAGGATTTATTCAAACAGTGACTATGTGGTTTCTCACCCTCCGCCCCCCCTCCTCATCAGCCGTTTTCACGAAATAGATCGATATTTGAACGCAGTGGCTGTGATACATAAAAAGCCGCGTGGGTGGATCGCGGGCGTTCAGAAATGCAACGAAAATGATTATGTTTTTACACAGCGAGTCGTCAAATGAATTTTAGTATGCGGAAATACGTATGTGATAGTGCCGGGGGTATTTTTGGGTCGGAGTGGATAATTTTTTACGCCGGTGATTCAAGATAAACATATACTTCGAGCCGCCATTGTTTGAACTAGCAAAATACGGTCATATTATTATGACGATATACCGAATTGCGTTTAACGTTTTTTAACGGAATTTTTTTCCCCGTTGTTTTTTTTTTTATTTTAGGAATTGCAGAGAAACTGCGAACCGGCTGCGTTTTCGTTCGAAAAGTTACTGATAAACATGTCTACCGATTCTCGTACACCGCACAAAGTACTCAAACAGGCAAGTGTTCAATATACTATTGAATTATTAAATTTAAATAATAATTGCTTATACGATGGTGCCCGTTTTCCCCGTTTAACGGTTATCATAAACGGGACAGTAGATCAGTAGTCTTATCGTTTAGAGGACGTGTCACCACCCAAATTTCGACTGTAAAAACCGTTTTGCGCGAACGAAAACCACTCGAGGTTATAGACCTTGTTACTATGAAACTAAATTTTCATCATAGAAAAAAAAAAAAAAAAATGAAAACTCGCACAGTCGCGTTGTGCGACTCTCGATACCACAAAAAAAAAAAAAAATAAAAAAAAAATCATTACGTTTTTAAAAAACTGATAATTTTAAGTGCATCGAATTTAATAGCTATTTTCGTAGCGCGTTTACATCGAAAAACTGTCACTAACGTTGCACAGTGCAAGTTTTCTTCTTTTATTTATTTATTTTTTTTTTCTGATAATGACACTGGGTAACAAATGTATTTGAAAGCGAATGGAAATATTGTCGCGTTGATAAAATCGTATTTTTCCCGAAAATATCGAGAAAATCCGCCTATACGGGAAACCGTTAAAATACGGGAGATATTACGTCCTCTCTTAAAGTGATAATTATTCTAAAAAAAAATGTTTTTAAATGCTTTTACGAAATCTCGGAACACCGGTACCGTCCGGGGGTCCCTTGACGATTCACGTCGGGATTTCGCGCAAAATATTGTGGGTGAATGTGAACGCCCTAGGCATTTCCGGTGTTGGCGAATTTGTGTTATTTATTGTCGACCGGTCGGCGTGTAGGCGTGTAAAACGTTTCCGCGGTAACAAGAGATTGCGAGGGGATAACGTGAAAAAAACAAAGGGGGAAAAAACGGTTTTCCACGATAAACAAGTAGGTTGAACGGTTTTTTTTTTTTCGACGTGTCTAATACAATTTGCGGATTTATCGTTTCGAGACCGCGTTTAGGGGGGAGGGGAGGAGGATGGGGCTTTAGGGCAGACCGCATTACGCTGAAGCCGGCGAATAATTATTCCTGCGAGATTTATTGAAAATCGTTTTTAATCCAATTTTACCGGACGCGTTGGGGAGAATGGGGAACGGCCGAGGGTGTTTATATTTCGCACACTGTATAATAAAATACGCATTTTAAGAAAACTCGCAGTTTGTTTTTTTAAAAAAATTTTAATGTTATTTCAATTCCGTTACGTACAAATAGTTACTGAATATATTGAGCAACACGAGAGACTGCGAAGTGGCGCTCAGGAGTCAGCTGGTCGAGGATTTGGGTCTGAAATCGTCCGAACGTATTCGAGTGCCGATATCCAAGTCCAGCGAACAGATCGACGATTATGAGTGTGACGTGTGCCATTCAATCCTTTACATATCAATGGTAACGTATATCATTACTGCTTTTTAGTACATGTTTTAGATTCCGAGTGGAATGTATTTTAGTTTACAATGATTTTTTTTTCTGTGAACAAATTTTCTACCAGACATTTGTCTCCGCTTTTCAAATGTAGCACTTTTTCTGAAATTAAATTTTATCAATTTGGTACTTTAAGGAGCACATTTTTTGATGATTTTCATAATAAATGGGAAAATGTACGAAATTTATTATTTTCAAAATATAAATATTACGGCCTTTCAAAACATATATATATATATAATCGAACTCCGTTCGTTAGCAATGACTCATTGTTGCTTACAGATNAAACATATATATATATAATCGAACTCCGTTCAGAATCGTTTTTCGTTAGCAATGACTCATTGTTGCTTACAGATATACATTACATTTCCCATTTATCTTGCCAACTTCTAATCTACAACAGTGGCCCACCCATCATGCGAAGTATGTCAGTTTGTTTTTTTTTTATTTAAAACGACAAACAATGACGTGATTTCAAGATTATTTTCAACTGTTTAAAATAATAATATTATGACATTCTCTATAATAATTTTCATATTTGCATTCACACCATTGACGCCCAACTGACTCGCGGTATATAGACAGCAAATATTGACGAGTTTCGTATTTTTTTTCACAGGTGAACAACTCGCACGACGATTGTGATTATTGTCTGAGACACGGCATTGAGATTTTGTCGAAAAAACACAATCAACTCAAGTACTGCAAGTTTATGTATACGTTCGATGAGGTGAGGATTTTGTTTGTTATTTTGATGGGAATCCCCTCCCTCTCGTTAATCATTATACTTAGGCATACAATTGTTATCGCTGGTACTGTTTTATTTACCCGTACTTACAATTTTTTATTTTTTCTTACAGGCCGAGTTAGATTCAATATTGGTGAAACTGCGCGAGAGGATCGATTCGAAGAAAAAGAAAACTTCGGCAAAGAGTTGATGATGACGTTTCGTATGTCTATATCGAGATATGGACTACATATTTTCGATGACAAATATGAATAGTTAAAATAATTAAAACAAATTTATTATAAGTATAAAGTCGTATGCAAAACTCCCCTTTTTTAATTACCTAATTATGTATATCAAAATATGTTGCCGTCGAGTGTTCGACTATAATATGTTAATAATAATACTCTTCCTAGAGAGTAAATTTCAAGACTTAATTTTTTTATTTTCTCGTATGTTCCGATGTTTTGTGATTTCATATATATTTTTTTTTACTATTATTTATTATTACAAATATTATGATTTTTTTTACATTTGTACAAAAATTGTGTTCAATGTGGTCTCAGAAATTTGTTAATTATCCGTTTAGCAAATTTTTGTACTTAAATAGATTTAATAGTATTTTTGTCAAACTTACGTGTTGCGTGCTCGAATAGTTTAAAAAAAAAATTATAAGTATGATAACGACTGTATTGCTTGGTTACTTTATAAAAGCAATTGTCTCAAGAGTCTAGTAAAAATATAAAGATAATAAATGTAATTAATATTATTCAAACAAATTATAAACACTAGTCTTGTATAACCATTTTGTACTTTAATCTTATTTCACTTTGCATCCTTGCTCGTATTTTGAAAATTTATCAATCTAAAAATTTAATATTTCCATCATTCCTATATGATAACAAATAAGCAGTTTTATTTTTAATTAATTTATCATCAGTACAATTTACATCGGAAAATATATAATTAAATAATAGTGTAGATTATAAATACAATAAAGAATTAGGTATAATAAAATATGTTAAAACAATAAAAATATGAAAGATAAAATACAAATAAGTACATAATAATAAGTGTTATTAAGTTTTATGAATAGAGTAAAAGAAATCTAAATGATTTACAAAATTCCCAGTAGATAGCAAGATATTTACAGGTGTACACGATATACAGTTTTGAGGATAATGTTTTTTTTTATAAAATAATTCTTTATTACGAATGTTATGTTTATTTACTTTTAGTATAATATTGTTTAGAAGGGAGGTTTTGTCTATTTTATTATTAAGTAGTTTGAATAAAAAAGTCGTAGAACATTGTTTTTTTTTCCTGATCTTTTAATGGTATTAAATTCAAAAAATTAAGAATGGCATCATATCCAGAGTGAGGTCTACATAAACTGCTTTTAAAACAGATATAACAAAGCATATTATTTTTAATTTTTTCCGTTTGTTCACCATGGCCGATGTTTTATGTTTCCCATATGATTGGAGCATATTTCAATATAGGGTGAACGATTGAAGGGTAAAGACATTTTAATGTAAATGGATCATCAAAGCTGGAACAATTTCGCTTAACCATGTCAATTAATGAGTTTATTTTTTTTTTACTGCTAATATCTAGAGATTAAATAAAAGTTTTTGAGTCAAAGATTATTCCAAGATCATTAACTTTAGTAGAACGAAATAAATTTTGGCTAAAGAACTTGTAGACATTAGAAATAAAATTTTTTTTCAGAAAAACTTATGTATTGACATTTATTAATATCAAGACATATACCATTTGAGATGCACCAATTTTGAAAGGTAGTTAAATATTGTTGAAGTAAATTAGCATCTGTTATATTCTTTATACACTTGAATTGTGTATATTTTTTTTTTACATCAACTTTTTATTGAATTTTATTTAAATTTAAGCCTTTCAAAATCTTTTGTCTATTAGCTTTTTCCCTGTAAAATGTAAACATTTATACTTTAATTTTTGATTTATGCTAAAGAAATAAATCAATTGTTTGTATACAATAATAGGTGCGTTTTCGTAAAGTGACCAGGTTGCCTAAATCATACTGTTGGTTTACTGGTAAATTTATGAAACTGCAAACTCTTTTTGATAGCAAGGTCAATTCAGTTACCAGGTTACAGAACGATAAGCAAACAATTATTTAATTATTAGAGTGTTGATTATAAAATATGGAAAATTGATTGTTTTCAATTTATTTCTGAAAACAAGCCTAAAATTATGTTAGTGCGACAGATAAATGTTGTATTGCTAAGTAGTAAATATATTAGACGTTTCTGTTTTATTCAATTTATTATATAATATAGTAAAAAAGAAAAAAAAACAAAGTATTTAGTAACATAACAATTTGAAAACAATATTTATTGTTTTTATAAACGATATATTATTAATTCGTATATGTTTTACATGCTAATCCCATAATGTTTAAGCGTACAAATTCTGTTGAACTCTAGTTAGTATAAAGAATATATAACATTTAGTACAGATAAAAATCTTCGAAATGTTAAAAACAACCATACACAAAATTATATTGAAAACACCAGTAAAAATTAAAAAAACTTATATCTATACCCCCATACATTGAATTATAAAATATAAAAATGAAACAATCAAAATAAAACCATTTAAATCAGTTAATTTAAACTTGACACAATTTTTAATTAGTAACAAATTAATATTATAATATATAATTAATCAAAAAATCACTTAGTGAGGTCTTTAAAGTTCATAATAAATAACAATTGATATGACTTAATAATTACTTACCGATTAATGGTTAAGGTATATTAGTAATATATAGTGAAATAATGAAGGTAAGTAGTAAAAAGATAGGGACATAATTTGTATGAAGGATGTATAGATGCGAATTTAATGTATATTTCTAAACAGTGATTAATCTTTGGTAATGAAAAATAGATTTCGAGCAGAGTTCGGGTATATATGTTTTGAAAGGTCATAATATTTACGATTTGAAAATAATAAATTTCGCCGTTTTTCCTATTTTATTAAGAAAACCACTGGAAAAATCAAAATATGACTTCCCTAAAGTATTACTACAGTTCAATTTTCTTTTAGAAAAAATACTACACTTGAAAATTGAAGCAAAATTTCTAGAAGAAAAATTTTTCACAGAAAAAAAAAAAAATTAAACATCATTATCACCAATACAATCCTCACTTTGTTTAGAATCTAAAAATAATACAATTTGGGTAGATTATTTGTACGCAAAAAGCTAAATAATATTATTCTCTGTTAACTATTTAAATTGCATACAAATATAATAAAAACAATTTTAAATGAACACATATTAGCATAATAAATATAAGGTTGATATTGAAAGGCCATTGTTAACAATGCAATCATAAGCTCCGATCATCTAACAAGACAGTGTGGTAACAAATAGATGCATACACAATTAAACAGTGTTATTTTCCATTTATAAACCTGAAAAAGAAAAAAAAAAATTGTATTAACTTGTCCATTGTAGATTTGTGATAGTAAATATCGTAGCAGGGAAATTCACTTATGGTAAGAAAAGTCTGCCATTGAGTGAATGTTGCGCACATGTTTGGTCAAGTTGCTCTGGCTGTTAGACGAGTGATTGCAGAATGGACACGAGAATGGCTTGGAACGAGAGTGTATTATTGTGTGCCTCTTCAACAGTGACATCGTTTGAAATGATTTGTCACAAACTTGACACGTGTGCATGCGTTCGTTGTGCACAGTGTTCTTATGTGTTTTCAGTCGACTTTTGATGGCAAACATAGAACCGCATTCCTCGCACCTTCAATGACAAACGCGAGACATAATAAATTACAACGAAATACTCGCATTCAAATAACTTTGTTACTTAACTGTTAGAGAAAATATTGTTCTATTATTTACATTTGATTGTTAAGAATACCTTATAATAGGTGCTGTATTATTTACCGTCCACAAGTTTTTTTTAAAAACGGTCGGATTGAAAATTCAAAAAAGTATTTTATACTTTTTTGTCACACAAAAATATATTATTAATATAATCATATTATTATAATTTATAATTATAATGATACTTACATGTAAGGTTTAGTTTGGTCGTGACTATATGAATGAATTGTCATATCCTGTTTGGTAGCACTTACATGGTAACAGACAGAGCAAATATATTTTGATTCTGTATGATCACCGTGTTTCACTTTTTTATGACGTTTCAATGAATCAAACAAGTATGTAGTGTACGTACACTGTAAAGCAAACAATGAACATATTATTTCTTACTTCAATGGTAAGAGATTTAATTAACACTATGAGCAGTGTTTAATAGAAAATCAGTGCGCACAACTTTCATAAAATATCATATAAATAACTGATGATTAGACAATACCGTTGTACAAGAATATTGTTGTTTTTTGGTGTGGTTGGCATTTATGTGTCTCTCCAAGCTGTATTTGTCGAAAAATTTTCTTTCACAATAGTTGCAACAATAATCGCACACGCCCATGTGACGTTTTAAATGTTTTTTCAAATCTGACTTTCTGAGCGTTTGGTATTTGCAGTCGGCGCATTCGTACGCTAGTTTTTTTTTGGCAGCTATATATACAATAACCATAACATGAATGGATTGATAAATAAATTACACATACAGGGTTAGTAAAATGGTCATTAGACTTACAAGGATTCTTTTCATTGCACAGAGCTTTAAAACTATCGAATGCATTGTGGGTTACTTTTGTTTTGGAAAAATCTGTCCTTCTATAATTTCTGAAAAAAAAAAAAAAAAAATTAAACCAAAATTTAGAATCTAAATAAAATACAATTCAAACAGAAAAACCTATTTAGTGTACTCGCATACATTTTATCCAAATCGCCCTCGTAATGAATTACTTCTTTTCCCGATACGCTGTCATTGATTTTACACATGAATTCTTGCAGTACTTTGTATATTTTTTCAAGCGCTGATTTTTTCAGCAAGGCGGTAGTCTGCACACAGAGGATATTTTCAAAAGTCTGTTTACACTAAAAAATTAAAAATAAATTCAATACAAACTTACTGATTGCGTAAACACATCCGGGGTATAATATTAATATTAAATATGTACCTAGTATACTAATAGGTACCAATTAACAATGTCATTAAAACGTTTATATTTGAGTAACGCATAATTATATTTTTGTCCAATCTTTTTAGCCACGGATACAAAATGTAATTTAATTTGCCCCATTGATTACAATACCTTGTTATACCCCTCAATAGTATTTTAGAGGTGAAAATAATTACATTTTATTTGCCGGCTAAAAAATGCACCTGTTTATTATAGGTACAACTTACACAGTGTGTAAATTGTTAAACATTTAACGTTGTATAATGGCCAAAAGAACTGGGTTACTAATAACATGTTTTCCGGGTTAATTGAACCCGCGAGTTTAAAATGGTTTAAAACTACCTACTTACCAGGTAACAACTACAACGGTCTGTCGTACAAGTTTTATTATTTACAAGTTGTTAAAGCGAAAAGGGCGGGGGGGGAGGGGAGGGAGGCGTACATCGGACAAGTGCAATTTGCATTCGAGGAAAACCGTGAATTTACAATAAACGTATGGCCGCAGCGTTCACGGTGATTTTTTAATGTTAAAATCTATACGGTCAGCGTCCGCGAAATAAATGTTTAGGAAAAACAAAAAACAAAAACGTCTAGTTTACTTGTAAAATTGCATCTTCCAGTAATTCTGAATCATAATTGTTGTTGAGCGTAGTCATTGCGTTTGGCGATTTATTACGAACTAATTACGAGTAGGTATAACAACTTATTTGTAATTAATAACAATACGATATAATTAATATCACTAGTCAACGGTCTCGTGTAGAATATGATGATAAAAAAAAAAAAAAAAAAAAAAAAAAAAAAAAAATAAAATAAAATTATAAAAACCTACGGGAGACCTACTGCACTGGAATTGACGTGTGCCATTAAAAAGAAAATACTGTAGGGCCGGATGAGATGCACAAAAAACATTCCTAAAAATAATAAAGTCATTGTTCGTTTATCGGGTCACATAATAAAAATATTTCCAGCGCGAGTTCATCTGTTATCTAATCGCTTTATCACGTCTACATTGATAAACACCGCGCGTAATCGTAAACGTTACGAAATTCGATTTTTTCGAAATCCCGGGTTAATTTGCATTTAAATTTATTTGTGAACATTGTATTTATTTATGAAGAGAACGACGACAACAACAGCAACGGCTAGACCGAAACAAATTTACTGTACTAACTTGGAAATCGTGTATATTAACGAGTTTAGGTACAAGAACAATAGCGAAGCGAAAATCTGTCGGACGGGCTGTTTCGAAGTTAGGCCTATTGGAGTTCGCGGTTTTCCGTTTTTACGCGTATGTACGTGCACAACTTTTCGCGGATTTTTTTCGTTTTGGAACTTATCTACGGTCTTCAACACGATCAAAATGATAAACGCACAAACGATTACATGACGTACCTAGAGACACGGATTATATTTTCAAATTCAATTAGTGTTTAGCTAACCAATTTATCGTAAAACTAGAGCTAAATACACTGCTGATGGGTGTGCCGCTGTTGTGTATACGTGGGTAGTTGGGAATGTAGGTCACATAAAGTTGTTTAATTTATATCCGTGAGCAACGATAAACCATTACTAACGAAATAAGATTCTGAGCGCAGTTCAGTTGTTCATGTTTTGAAGTAGGTACCGGCGCACCGTAATGTTTACGATTATCGTCAAAATTTGATATTAAAACAATTAAAAAAAAAAAAAAAAATTTTATAATTATTACGCTCAACTTAATTTCTTTGCCAACAAGCACGATTTGTATTGATTCGCTATACTTACAGTGAATTTAATACGTAGGTTACCTATACGAATCGAACAAAATCGTTTTTATCCAAACCAACAAAATGTCTTCCAAAGGCAACATCTAAACGTTTAAAGAAAAACTAACAAAGACCGTTGACGGTCAATATGTAATAAACGCTAAAGATGTTGTTTAGTAGACAAAATGATAGAATTAACGCGCATCATTATGGACAGATATGAAGAGGAAAGCAAAAGGTTGAATACCAAAATACACTTCTATAAACTTGATGAGTCGGACATCAGACAAGATTGGACGATGTAAGAACCAATTTTTGTTTGACATTAAATCGAAAAGTTGACGATAATCAAGATGTCACGCGTTTGATAAATGTCTGCGTTGCGTTAAATGCCGGTGACAGCGAACATCATTACATCCTGGAGGAAAACTGCCAGATAAAGCAGACAATTACTAAAATCACGCGAGAAAACTTCAGACTGATGTAATACACTTTTAAATACAGTTGGAAAATTAAATGAACAAATAACCGTTAGAGATGCTAAAATATCAGATTCGACGAACGATATTGATTTGGCTAAACGAAAAAAAAAAAAAAAAAACGATAAAAAGTAGTTGTATGCCAATAAACAAGTATTTCAGGAGAAATTGTTCATTGAAACGCAGAATACGAAAAACGAATTGCACGAGGATAAATGCATAATTACCGGACGAATCGGCCAAAACCACGTCATAAACAATTTTTGATTTTGAGTGGAGCGAAGAAGCTTATGGTTTTATAAAGGTGTATTTTTTTTTTATCCGCGGACAACTTTTCTACCATAAATATTGCTCCGATTTTTAATTGTAGCACCTTTTATAAAAGGAAATCGGACTGGGGAGGTACTTTGAGCAGGTCATTTTTCGATTTTCTCAGTTTTCTCATCAAGTGTAAAAAGCCGGGAAAACCAGGATAAACGTAGGAATAACGGGGAAATCGGCACAATATTAAACAGATATTATTAAAGAAAATATATAATGTCTATTCATTATTTTACCATAATATGACATACATGTTGTTCACAAGGCACCACTATCAACTGAACTCCTTCTCAGAATTGTTTTTTCGTCAGCAATGGTTTATCGTTGCTTACGGAAACACATTAAATTACCTATAACAGTGGCTGCACCTGACCCCGTTATCCTAGGACAGCTTTTTTTTTTTTTTAAATTAAAATGCATAAATAACGATTCGCGTAAAGAAAATTAAAAATGCCAAAAGTCAACGGGAAAATACACACGACAATTGGCGAACAGAGCAAATCAATTTATCGATGACGTTAAAGTAACGGAAACGCTCAAATCGAATGCCATTGAACTGTGGGGACAAATCGAAATGTCGTTGAAGAATTAGTACGAATGAGCTACTGCTCAAATACAAAATCTAACCCGTATGACTATATCGTTAATATTCACTGGTAAATCTAATTAATGTATAGGGATTTTTAGTTGTTCGTGTATTTCAGACAAAACGAGTTTCCTGGACGATCAAGTTTAACGGTTACAGAAAAAATCCTTTTTATAGTCGAACGAATCGCCAACGCAAACAACTTAACAAAATCGGTCAACACGAAAAACTTGGGCGAGAAATGCGAAGAATGTAATAAGTCAATTAAACTTTTATAAAATTTTAATCTCACTTTTGTAAATAAAATAAATCAGTTTCCAAGTTTCGGCACTACCTACCAATTTATAATATTATACATTGTACTTCCTACCTAATATGAAACATTAAATACCAGTGACTGACTTTGTAATTATTCACGGTTGTAGTGCAAAGGCGTTCAAGCCGGCCATTAAATTCGATAACAAAGGAATTTCCATTTGTTAATAGTTTGTGTTATTTTATGGTGTACACAGGAACTCGAATTCAAAACCGCAAAATAAGACGGACAGCAAAATTCGACATCACTTCCGTCAAGCATTATTCACGAACAAGTTCGGGTAAATATGTGCATAATGAAGTTATTGTAACGATTATCAAACAAAATAATCGTGTATTCATTATAGACTTGTACAGCTTTTCGAGAGTTCGAACAATTTTGTGAAACAACTTACGTTGGAAAACAAGAACATGAAAACATTATTAAAATACACAATACATTTGAGCTCCAAATTGGTTGATCGGTCAATCTCCGCTGGAAAAGACACGTAATTACGTCCTTCAGTTTTAAATTTTGCATGAGGATTTTTTTTTTACCTGTAAACAACTTTTCTGCTGGTGATTTTGCTCCGATTTTAAATTATAATACTTTTTCTGAAAGGAAATCTGACGGGGAGTGGGGCTTCGTTAAGGAGGTCGTTTTTTGATTTTCCCAGGAGTTTTCCCGATAAATGGGAAAAACGTGGAAAAAATGGGAAAATAGGTACAATATCAAACAAATATTATTAAATAAAATAAAATAATGTATAATATATGTAATTATTTTACGATAATATGACATATATATTGTTGATAAAGCAATACTATTAATCGAACTCCGCTCAGAATCGTTTTTCGTTAGCAATGGTTAATCATATATATTGAATTTTCCCTCTACCTTCCAAACTTCTCATTTACAACAGTGGCCCACCCATCATGCGAAGTATTTTTTTTTTAATAATATAATATTATGCTAAATCATTGAATAGTTTTTCTTTAATATCTTGCTTTTACGATTTATTTATTTCTTTATTTTAGCCAGGGGGCACTGGGGGGCACGTGCCCTCCCCTTATTTTTTTTTCGTAAAACTGTAGTACAGTGTACATACATTCGTTATATTAAATACAATTTGTTATTAATAGTACTATTATAAGTATTATAAAATATATCAATTGTAAAGCCGTTAAATTTTCGTTGGATCAATACAATAATAATTGTACGTTTATTTTATTTTTTTCAAGTTAGGTACACCTACTTTGTGAACACGGAACACTGATCGTATTCTTCACAATAATATATATTTTAAAGTCATCTCTAGTACCTATAATAATTTGTATTGCTAATAGCTAAATAATCTTCTAAAGATTTATGTGTATATATAAAAAAAAAAAAAAAAAAATGATCTTTAGTATATAAATATTACATTGTTATTTATGATATTTATTGCATTCTTACCAAAATAATACATATTTGATATTATTACGCGGTGAAAAAACCGCCTAAATTGCGGGCAATACATACTCCCGCGCGGAGTAATGCAAGTCGTTTATATATTATATTATCATACCGCGTTTGTGATGATAGTCATCTCCCGTTTCTTTATATCTCATTTGTTACGGTGTAAAAAGTGATTTTTTTTCCAACTACCAATATATTTATACGAAAAAACGTCGAGGAAATTACGCAATAACGGATGGCGGCCGAAAATAATCCCGAAAAATTGTTTTTTTTTTTTTTCATAGCTTCTCTGACTGCTGCAATTGTTGTACATAGCCGATATTGCCATTGGTACCAAGTACCTTAAATCTAATACCCAGTGGCGTACATAGAAAATATTTTTGGTAAGGGGACTGGAATAGATGTGAATAGAATAGTGATTTTAAAAAGATAGAAGTGTAGGGAGGTGCTGACGTCTCTGGTAAAACTATGTTTTATTTAATAGTAATGAAAATAAGTTTATACGTTTTTCGGGACTGTTTACGGGTACTGATGAGTGATAGGGGGAATGGTTAACTCCTATACAATTAAATGTTGATCTCCTGCATAGACATACTAGTGTAAACGTCTACACTAGAAAGTCTTAGCTCCATGGGCGTCATTTCAATATTTGCTAGGGTGGGGCATAATAATGACCGGTCCAATAAGTATAAAATTAGATTTTTTTTTTTGCATTGCTTTATGCGGTGGCGTACGCAGGATTTTTCAACGGAGAGGACTTGGAAATTGATAATAATCAGTTGTTTTGTCACAAGTTTGAAAAGTAAAGTAGGTCAGTAGGTGCATTCTTCATAAAATATGAAAAAAAAAACTTTAATATTTAGGTAATTATACAAATGTTGGTCGGTAAAACGCAATTTTTAAGCTAATAGAATATTTAAAAAGGCAGAGATCAACCAAAATTAGAATTTACTGAATTGTGGATTGCATTACTTACAGTTTTTTTTTCCTTCAAACTAAAAATCGATAACGAATTCGATCTTCTTCTGGCATAACGAACAATTAAATAGTTATTCTAGTGTGCAAACCCATGAGATACGTTTCACATGAAAACAATGGCGAAAAACCTAAGTACACAAAATATTATTGTTTCGACACTCTAGAGAAATAAATAAAAACGAAATTATTTATGTAATTGTTTTTCACCAATTACAGGTTGTATTATTATTGGGTATCTACAATGTCCGCGGGCTAACTTAACTATACGTTGATTTTTCGATAACATCGGTTCAGTGTGTTCAGTATTGCAATCGTAGATATGATCTGTTGTGCGGCAGCCCGCGTATGCATGTTAACATCGACCGCCAAAGTTACAATAACATAACCAACGTTTATAATGAGTGTCACCATAGTCAGACGAAAATAACAATCTTATCAGCCTAATAATATTTTGTTCTTTGATAATGATAATTTAATATAATAAGGTTGTTAATAAATAGATAACGGAACGGTGGTAAATTAATTTTTTTTTAATTACGTCGCCTCCTCTGAATTTCTACTTGTGTACGCTAATTACACACGCGTGTGCACGTGACTCAGCGGCTGTTGAGTAAACAGAATTGCGCACGCGCAATGATCACCGTGCCGATCGTTTTACATCGCCTCTGTGCACTAAAAATGGATGTGGTATTTTTATGGTAAGCTCGCGACCACGACTGCGGCACGTTCAACAACAAAACCACCCGGAATCGTAAATTAGTCATCGTTGTCACAGCGCCTAATGAAACCGATTGCAATGTCAGTTCATATTTCTGTCGTGTTCAAATCGTCGCTCGTGTTGGCCCGTTTAAATTTCTTTACGCGTATCGTCGTGTTTTTTTTATTTAACATTTGTGTTACGAATCTAGTAACATACGAGGCAGTAATGTTGTCGGAAACGCCATTTCGATGTTGGAATTCTGGTTGTGAAAATGATTTACTAAAAGTAGGCGGTGGGCCAGAGACCCATTCCGATTTTGTCAGTTATGACTCCTGACAAAAAACTAAGTAAGGTGTTACTATAGGTCATTCAATCCAAATGTATATCAACAACACACTTAGTTATGTGGAAGTCGTTGTGTACGAAAATTGTTTAGTTGGCCGTGTCTGTTTGGAATACCGTTGTTGGTATACTATACGAAACCAGTATGTTGTTATTATAATTATAAGTATTTTTATGTTTTTAAATTCCATTATTGCGAAGTTTAATTTTTGTTATGTAGGGAGGGGGAGCGATACATAAGTCGCCTCATCAAAAAAATACAACCAAAACCGCCACTGCAGATTCGTACACCTGCATTTGCATTTATCTCGCCATCGTTGGCGAGGTCTTCCCCTCGGAAGGACGTTTGCCGGGTAGTTTGTTAATCAGTACTCTCTGAATTAGTATGCTCTATCCGACTCGGCATACACGGCCCGCCCATTCTAGACGCTATTAGCTTTTGATTCGGTTTATCGTGCACCTATAGGGAATTCAACGCGGTAGTTTTTCTCCATTCATAGTCTCCGGTTGATCGGTTTTCCACTTGGTACGCCCGTACAATTTTCTCAGCACCTGTACCGTGTGAATATTGTAGGCAATGAAAATCCTCCGCCGAACCGTCCGTCGCGTACGTTATTATTGGTTTCGTAAAACGCGTTCGGAATTATTAGCCGTTATCGACCGTGAGCGACGACCCCCCCCCCCATCGTTCAAACCCGATTGCAGTCCGCCAATTTACGGTTTCGATCAACAGGTATAGGCTATACCTGTCTATCTACACGTGTAATGGTTTTCGCGTACGCTGTCGCGTTATTTTTCAAGAAGCGTACAGTGTAGTATCCTTTGGATAGAGCCTTTGGCGGCTTTACGGTGACGTTTTCTCTCTTGCGGGCGGTCCGTGTGAGAAACATCCCGAGTCCGTGTTTGTTTGAAAAAACGCCCACCGCCACCGACCCGCGCCGGATTTCGCGTTCGGACTTATCCGAACGCCGTTGCACAATCGCATCGCGGGGTCGATACCGACGATCGGAACCGACGGGGGGCGACGGGGCACGGGGGGGATTTTCGCAACACCGCGGCGTCGGATTTTCCGGCACGGCGCGACACGCGACGCCGCCGCCGCCGTCGGTGTTTTCTTTTTTCCCCCCTCGGCGGGCGTCGAATCCGCACGTTAACGGGTACGCGGTCGCACGGTCGGGTTGGGCGTGCGCGCCGCGGTAACGTTACGCCGACATTGTGCTGTCCGTACGGCACGACCGCGCGTCCCCCCGCAGCGGGTTCACGACGCTGCGGGTGTACACAACGTCGAAATTCGACTTTGTATAAATTATTATCGAGATTTATTACGCGCGTCTCCGCGGTGTCGCGTCCCGGCGAAATCCGATATACGGCGCGGGTGTAATTGGTACCGGTCCCGAAACGCGACCGACAGCCATTTAATTAATATGCATTACAACGTAATATTATTAATTATTGTTATTATTATTATTATTATTATTATTAGTGTTGTTGTTGTTGCGCGCGGGATATCGACCCGTCCGCGGAGGTAACAACAATGGCCACGGGCGCGAAACGGCCGTCCGGGACGGACAACACGGCGTTCCGCCCCGACACGCGCGCCGCTAATTTTTATTCTACCGGTAAACGTAACGCGGTTTTCTAATTCGATAAGCGATGTTAACGCGGCGTTACACTGCGTTGCGTTCAGCGGTTGAACGTGGCCAAGTGTTGCCGAATGACATCGATTATATCACCGAAGCGTGGGCAGCGAGCGAACTGTGAGGAGGCCTCATGGAACGGGGAAAATTCAAATATCAATACCGTTATGTTGACCGGACGTATGCAATGGTCAATGTGCTCTTGACGCGCGTTTAAAATTTAAGAAACTGGGTGTACTGGCGGGAGGGGGGGCGTCAAAATCTTGTACGGCAAAACTTTGTACCGAGAAAATCCTGAAAAAAATGCCGGTAACATCTCGAATCGAAAATATCGGCCAGATTATTTTTAATTAATATTAATTTTTTTTTTTTCTCAAGATTTTGCCATCGAAATGTC